TAACATCAGGACACTGTTATGTAAATTGTGGGACAACCAGATAATGAAATATTATGCCTCCAATGAAAACTATGTTTCTAAGGCATACTTAAAGACAGGGGAGAATATTCATGGCCTATCGTAGAATGAAATAACAGGGTAGACTTATTGTTATTTATTTATCTATTTATTTTTGCAATTCAGTCCCTAAAGGTAAAATCATTATATAATTCTGCCTTTTATATTTTTCTATGTTTAAAGATATTTTTACAATAAGTATGTATTACTTTTGTGAAAATAAGTGTTACTCTTTCAAAAAATATTGCCTCAAGTTCATGAGAATTTACATTCATAAGTTGTTCTCTTTTTCCCTCTCTGTTTTCTCTCACCTTGAGTCTCAGGTTCCCTTTTTGAGAAATGAAGACTACATTGTCCACAAATGTAAAGCAGTGGATACAGGGGATACTATTTTCTTAATGTCGTAATTTCTTCTCCTTCACTGAACTACTGGAGGGTCTCACTTACATTCCACACTGAAGGCTGAGGTATTCCAAGAGGTCATAAATTGTATTCAGTCTGTCAGTACAGATCAAGGTCAATCTCTCTCTCTGTTGTGATTGGGCCACACAACTAAGGGGGAAACTAAGGAATGGCACCACTGGACTTGCTGCAGTTCCTCCTTTCTCCTTCGCTCCTTCTATCAAGGCTAACACTTACTCTAGCTTTCCCCCTTTCTTACAGTAATTTTGATCTCCAGGAAGTCTGAAACTAAATGCAAGTCTGCAACTAAATCCTTTGCCAGTTGACACCTTACTTCATAAATGCCAAATAGCAATGATGTGACTTACATAGAGTTCCAAAGAGTATGAGCTATGGTGTGCACCTGAGCATTAATTGATTTTGCTTTCAATATTAATGAGCCTATGATTTGGTCTAGTTGACCTTCAAATTCAAATTAGGTACTGATTAAATAATAAGACTGGTGAATCTGGATATGTTGAAACAGCACATTCCCCCACTCCCCTTCTGCCTCCCTCCAGTACATGGCCTTGGCCTTGGAAGTAGATGAAGATGAGCTATTAAAAGTGTTTAGACAACTAGAATACAGCATTATCCTTACTTAAGGTGATAAATTACAACTTCAAAAGCAATAACTTTGCAGAAGTTTCAATGAGGTTATCAGACAGCCTTATGCATTTTACTCCTGTGTTTAGATGGCCTCACATATGATTGCTTATGTATTTGTTAACTTAAAATAGCTTTCACACTGATAGTCTAGGGTTTATCTTTGAGGATATAAAGAATAAAAAACCCCATTAAATAAAAAGTATTTTTACCAGAAGACAAAGAATGCCTTTAACAACATCAGAAGGCCAAAGAATGCCTTTAACAACATCAGAAGGCCTATCAACCTACATATTGGGTTTTCCCCAGACCTCTTCCAACTTTGAGTTCATTTCAGTTCAAGTCTATTTATCACATCCTTGGCATTCACCCACCCCCACGAGGATAAATTGTTCCGAAGCATTTGCCCTCCTCATATCTCTCTCAACTCAACTCCTGCACACCTGACAGCTAGAATGACTCATTAGGAACTGGTGTCTTCAGTATCTGGACGACAGACAATCTAGCTCCAGGTTCATACAATTATCAGTTATGACTCCTGCTAGCAGTTTGCATAGTTACTAGCTATGTATGGGTAATTGGGCAGCAAATATCTGTTCTCGGTTCTAAGTGTCAAATATGTCTAGAATATTTGAATGTAAACATCTGGATTATAACACTTCCTCTCAAAACTTTCCAACCTTCTCATAACTGTTTCATTGTCTCTCCACCCCAAAGAGACATCTCTTATTTTGCTGGCTCCTTTTCAATCCTAGAAGACACTAATTTCCAGTAGCAATCCAAGTTTTAACAGATGTAAAGCCAGCCAACTGATGAGCATCACCCAAAATAATCTCAAATTCCATGGAAGTTACGTTGGAAAGAAAAACAAATCCAGCCTAGAATAGAGTGATTCCAAAGCTTAAGAAGATGCTCAGAGTTAGAAGCAAAGTCTCAAAACAAAGTCAAGAGAACACAGACTCCTTCAGGAGCTGTGATCAGCAAAAGAGGTTCCGCCACTTAAACCAGAGAGTGTAATAAGCATTTCCATAAGCTAGCTTTTAACTCCTAGCTTTAAAATAGCCTTGGTGTCACTGAGGAGAGATATTTCTGCATGAAAGCTAATAATGGAGAATGTTTGAAATGAATCCTCCACACTTATGACTTTGCTTTAACCCCAACTTGACCTCAATCTTGTAGAATTTCAATGGAATATTCTTTCTAAAAATTCTAAGCTATGCATCTATCAGTCAAAATGACAGTTTCATAAGCATTAGATACTTGATCTAAGATTTGAATTGATAATCAATTAGAAAGAGTGATGTTATATGCATGCTATTTCTAATGGGAAAAGGCATAAATCATATCATATGCTATATTTTAAAGTGAAACGTATTGTAGGTGGATGTGGATCTCAAACACTTGATTTTTCCCAAGTAAATACGTTAATCAATGTCAATATTTAAGGAAAGACCCCTATAACTTCACATTTAATCTTGTGAAGGCATGACATTTTGTGACATATGACATTTTGATGAGAGTTACCACCATTAAAATTTTTATTTTAAGAAAAATTCCTGAAAGTATTTCAAGAAATGAACTGTTCCTAGCATGAGCAATTAATGGTGTCACATCCTAAAAACATCGAGAAATATCACAAACACTGTGTTTCTACAAAGGTGTGATATCTACACTAAACAACTCAACGGGAAAAATCACAGCTTCAAGTTTTCAAGTTAGACTCTGTCTTATTTGTTAAACTCTGCCTTTTGACTTTATAATACTTAAAGATTTTTTTTATCATAAGCTAAATATTTGGAATGTTCAAACTTTTTGGTTTAAAATGCATACCACTTTCCACGTTTTTATCTTGAGATGAGTGGTTTTATTTTGACCTAAAATAACCTTGAGTTGTAAGCAAAGCCTGTGGTTATTTAACACAAATTACATTTTTAAATGTGTGGTTTTGAAGCCTACTACCAAAAATGACAACAGTATGGCGGAGGCTATGTTGGATCACCCAGATCTCTTTGGGGAATGAAAAGGTACCTCTGGATGAGGCCACCCCTTTCCGGGGCACCTAGCATGAGATGCACTCTCCATGGGGTATGTCCTGATTCTCCTGCCCTATCTCAGAAGCCCTCTCCAACTTCAGATTTCCTTATAATCAGCTGGGATCTCTTCTGAGAATATATTGAACGCTAACTCCCCCCTCTAGCCAGTTCTGTTCCCTTACTTTTATGATTTCAGTGGTTGATTGAAAAAGCTTTGTCTGTTTTTTCACCTCCATCTCAGTCTGTCCTTTTGGAATTCCATTCTATACAAGCAGCAGGTGAGAAGCTAAGTCACTGGCTTGTATTATTATAGCCTGTGAGGTAGACACTACGATTGTCCCCATTTTTCCCCCATGTCAGTTATGAGGCTTGAACTCTGAACCTGGGCACTGTCCCTGAGCTGTTCAGCTCAAGGCGAGCACTCTACCACTTGAGTTACAGCTCCACTTCCGATTTTCTAGTGGTTTATTAGAGATAAAAGTCTCAGGAGCTTTCCTTCCCCAGCTGGCTTTGAACTGCAATCCTCAGATCTCAGCCTCCTGAGTAGCTAGGATTACAGGCGTGAGCCCACAGGAGAAATTTGAAATGAGAATTATTTGTCATTTTTTGCTAACTCCTTGTTAATGGCTTGCATTATTTTTCCAAAGTTACCTAAATTGCCAGTGGCAAAGCCAGGATTTATAGTCCAACTGCACTGCCCCTTTCTTCTCATTCTGACACTCCCCTCACTGGCCAAGACCATTGATTTAGAAAAACAAAACAATAAAACAAATGATCACAAAACAAGAAGTGAAAATAATGAGGCAAGTATTTCACTACTAAAATTGAAAGACTACTTTGATTTTCTAAACACTGACTTAAGGAGTAATATCAATAACAGAAATGTACCTGTTGCATACCATATCAAATTAAAGAAATGCATTCAACATATGTATCTTCAAGTTCCAAGCAGATTGCGTGGCTTACCAGATAGCTGTCCATTTGTACTAGTCTGCCAATCACGGAATAGTTTTACTAGCTACCATTATATGGGAACTTGTCACTTAAATAAGAGGGAAAGGAGCTTCCCCTTTAGACAATGTTTTAAACATAAGTATCCTTACATCTATCTTTTTCTTCTTATTCCTTAAAATTTCTCCTAGGGCTGGGAAGGTGGCTCAGTGGTAGAGCGCTTGCCTTGCATGCATGAGGCCCTGGGTTCGATTCCTCAGCACCACATAAGCAAAAAGAAAAAAGCCAGAAATGGAGCTGTGGCTCAAGTGGTAGAGCGCTCGCCTTGAGCTGAAGAGCTGAGGGACAGCGCCCAGGCCCAGAGTTTAGGCCCCACAACTGGGCCCAAAAACAAAAGCAAAAAAAAAAAATTTTTTTTCTCCTAGAAATGAAATTTTTCTTTATTTTTTTCCCTCTTGGGATACTTGAACTAGCAATTTTTTTCTCTTAGGAATTGTCTTCAGAATGAAGACTGATGCTCTTGCCAAACATGGACTTCTAAAAATGCCTTTCAAACATTTCTTTCTTGAAATATCTCTAGTAGGTGGTCCTCAAAGTCACCCTTTCTTGTATGTAGCTATAAACCGTAGAACTAATACAATTGTTTCAAATAAACATCTCTAACTATAATTTCTCTGATCATCTTCTTATTTCATAACCAGTTAATTTTAGAGGAACAAATGTTGATGGCTATGTAAATTCTGGGAGAAGCTAAATATGGAATGCAACAGAGTGGGTGGGATCTGTGTTTTGGAAACAGAGAAGTTTAAGGAGAGTGAGATAGGCTCACTGTTTCAGTTTTCCAAATAAACAAAACCCAGATAGTCTACTTTGAAGAGTTCTGATTTTTCTATGTAATAAGTGGCCTCTTACCTTCATCTTTACAATCTTCAACTGCATCTTCAGAAGCAGGGCTGGGCACAGGGGGGGTGCTGACACCATCTGGAAAATTAAAGAAAAGAAACATAGCCTCAGTTAATATCATCCAGCTGTGGCTCTCTTGTCCCCCGGTCCCTCCCTTTACATTCCACCAAAGCACTTGTGAGCTCCCTTCATGCTGTACTGCACTGAATCATGGTTGAAGAAGTAAAAGAGTTGCAATCATTTTTTAAAATATAATGAAACAGAACTCTTCAGTTTTGACATAGATTAATGAACTATTAATGAAATAGAAAAGGAAGTATTTCTGTGAAGAATACTATTTGTTGGTAATAACATACTAATAACCATAGTGCGTTTTGCTTCTCAAAGAATGAGACATTATTTTTCTTAGTAATGGAATGTGAAGGATGCTATATCAATGTATTCCTAGACATGTCTACACGGTCCCTTTTGGTGTGGGCTTACCATAATGGCCTACCATTATGCCTGGATGGTTGTGCAGCTGCACAGACTGACCCAGTGGCTGTCACCAAGGGTAATATGGAGATTTTCTTTCTTGTGTGTGCTAGTAAAGGAGGCATGTTTCAGGGTCTATGAATTTTGCTCAAGGATGACACTCTACCACAGAAGGCACACCACCATGTATGTCTTTTTTGGTGGGGGATTTGTAGTTAATTGGAAATAAGAGTCTTGTAGATTTTCCTGCCTATGCTGGCTTTGAACCACAATCCTCAGATCTCAGCCTCCTGAGTAGCTAGGCTTTCACTCATGAAACTATCATCTAGCACTCTGGAGTGGAGACCAAGGACTTGGAGAACCCTCAATACCAATTAGCCTCATCTGAGTGGGTACTCAAGTTTGGCCTCTAGGATGGTAGATAGTTAACTACTAGCATTCAGACAGTAAATTTAAGATATGAAGGATTATTAAAAATCATTGGAATGCATATCTGGCACCTGAGAAACCTATATATGACTATTTCTTTTAGATTTACATTTCTATTGGAACAGAGAAAAAAATTTCAGGAGGGGGATAATTGGAGATAATGACTCATTTTCTTTTGCTCTGTGATAATCTTCAATTAAAATGAAAATGGTGAACTATTAACCTTCTCCTGATGTCACAACATCTATCCTCCTTTCACAGAAAAGTTGCCAAAAAGAAGTTACAGTTATTCTCCACTTCCTCACTTCAAAAGCTTCTTTTGATCCAGACGAATTGGCTTCTCCTCTAGTTCTTCTAGAATGCCCTTATTAAATACGCCAGTGAACTCCCTTTGGGAAGCCAATGATCACTTCCTTTTTATTTTTATTTTTTTTAATTAAAAAAAATCTTTCTGGCTTCTCAGTTTTAAGCTTTCCTGTTGTGGTACCCTAGATATCCTGATGACACATTCCCATTGTTGTCATTATTTACATATTCTTCTTAGTGAATTTCATCCAATGCCATGATTATAAATATATAACAATGACTCCTAAGGCTCTATTTGCAGTCCTTACCTCTGGAGCTCTGTACATATATATCTACAATTAACTGGTTGCCTCTGCTGCCGCCTCCACTGCTACTGTGGCTTCCTCCTCCTCCTCCTCCTCCTCCTCCTCCTCCTCCTCCTCCTCCTCCTCCTCCTTTTTCTTACACTTTTTAAAAATATAATACTAAGGCTTGAACTCAAGGTCTTGTACTTGGCAGGTATTCTACAACTGAAACCAGGCCCTTAGTTCTTTCTGTTTCCATTTTCTTTGGTTGACATGAGGGTCTCGTGAACATTTTGCCTTGGCTGGCTTCAAATCTCTATCCCTCCAATCTCTAGTTCCAGTGCAGTAGTAATTATAGGCATAGGCTACTAAACCCTGGATTTGAACTGACTTCTTGAAATCCCATATGGCTATCTAAACATCCTCTCAAATTTATATTAAGCTGAACTATTAACTTTTGCAACAAAACCATGCCCTGTCAGTAAACAGAACTGTCATTTGCACAGTCACCAGAGTTAAACATCTGTAGTGTTCTATCCAGTCCATCAGCACATGCCTTCTTCATGCGACATACTTCTGTCTTTTGTGCCCCATCTCTAGAGACCTCAGTTAGTCACTTCCTATAGTAGGTTTCTAACAGGTTCTCCTTCACCTCTTCATACACATTTCACTCATAGGCAAAGTGAGTTTTATTTTGAACACAGATCGTTTGATGTGATGCTTAACAGCTTCCCTCAACTTTTCTTTACGGTTCTAATAAAGTCAAATCAAATATCATTAGGCATAATCTGGTCCTGTTATCTCTTACCAAATCTTATACCATTCTATCCTGAGTCCACTCTGATAGTCAAGCTGTTTGACTCCAACATTAATTCCAAACTAGCCTTAGGGCTTTTCATAATCTGCTTCCTCTACCTAGAATTCTCTTTCACCATCTTATGTTTCAGATCCTATTTTAACTATCACTTCTTCCATAAGTCCTCACCAAATCTAGCCAATAGAAATTGCTGTCTAGGTATTTCTCCTATAGTATTTCATTTCTCTACAAAGTATTTATCAGTATCTGATATTTGTGTATTGTTTGAGTCCTCTCATTAAAGTATGTCATTACTTACTACTATAGTTCCAGTGTACAAACTGTATTAGGACACAGTAAACCCTCAATACATGTCTGTTATTTACTTCTTGATAAATGTTTTATACATTTGTGAGCTGGTGTGACAGTAACAATCACCAAAACTTGTGAATTACACTATTTTGTGATAGCATTTTTTCTATCCTATGGAAGAAGTCTGAACAGTTGAAATTAAAATTGACGCTGAAAATTATGTTGAGTGAAAAGAAGATATTTTAATGTTAGAAAGATAACAGCAGGTCAGAAGGACTTTAACAACCAGAACCATATCATCAATTTCTCAACAGTCTGAATTGGTTGGAAATAGAATAAACAGAGTGAACATAGTGATATGTAGTGAAATTGGCCAAGATCATAAATGAATCCCACTGCTGTACTTAATGCTAACCAATTGGTTCAGGTGGAAAAGCAAGAAGAGCTACTCAAGAATGCAGTAAGGACTCTTCTTCACATTAAGAGATGTCCATAGTGGAATAGTAACGGGACAAGATACAAGATGTGAAGAAGAAGAAGAATTATAGTTCATTCATTCTCTTGCTTCTCTCTTTCTCTCTCTCTCTACTGTCTTCACACCTCCTCCTCTTCTTCCTCCTCCTCTTCTCTTTCTATCTCTCTTTTTTGCTGGTCCTAGTGCTTGAACTCAGGGTCTGGGCACTGTCCCTGTGCTTTCTTTGGTCAAGGTTAGCACTTTACCACTTGAGCCAAAACTGCACTTTCAATAGTTTTTCAAATGCTTAATTAGAAGTCAAGAGCCTCATGAACTTTCTTACCCAGGCTGGCTTTGAACTGAGATCCTCAGATCTCATCCTCCTGAGTAGCTAGGATTACAGGCATGAGCCACCAGTGTCTGGCTACTACTCTAATTTTTTATAAGCCAGGCAGTCCCAAATCTAAAGGAAACTACTGGTGGGCAAATGATTAGGGGATGGATGAATGAATAGAACAAAGGAAAATGTGTTTTTGTGGTGGGTGTGTTTGTACACGTGGCACACGTGTTTATGTGACTGACAGAAGAAGGGATAAGGGCTGAGGAAGGAGAGGGAAGAATGAGAGAGGGTAGATGTGAAGAGGGAAAAGTGAGAGGGAGAAAAGAAAGAGGGAGAAAGGGAGGGAGAGAAAGAGAGAGAGAGAGAGAGAGAGAGAGAGAGAGCGCAAACAAAAACGAACAAGGCTAGGAGAAAATCAAGTTGCTCAACACAGCAGTGAGTGGATAAAACCCATGAGATTTCAGCAGTCAGAGAATGGCCTAAGCTGTCAGCAGTTTGTTGACTAATCCTTGTCAGCCCCAAACTGTAAAAACAGTGACAGCTTTTCACATAAGACTCATCTTCTATAGAGCATAATGATGTGTGGGCTGGGGTGGGGAGGGTTAGGTAAGAAGAGTTTGCTATATCAGAAATTCATTTCATTGGGAAGACTGTGTTTCAGCAGAGGAAGTCAGCAGTCCCAGAAAGAGGCACAGAGGGTCCATGATGCCTGGCTTCAGTGCTTTCTCTTATTGGTCTTCCTCAATCCCATCATCCAAATTAATAGTCAAAGCTTCTACTAGTTTCCTTGCGAAAGTTCCAAGGTCAACATAGGAATTTCTCAGTGAAAAACTTATCATCCTACTTGGATTTAATTCCAAAAGTTCAGCATATGGTCTAAGATGTGCCTGGCTCACATTAAGATAGCGATCACTATTATAAAAATGCCCCTATGTGGGCTCATTAAAATGAGAGAGAATCACTTGGATATTGAAAGGAAAAAGGATATTTTTATTTTGGCTGTTATGCTGGTAAAGGAATAACTGTTATTCTTTAATAGAGGATGCCTGAGTACAGAATTGGGGTGGGGAGAGGTAGTAAATTGGTGAGTTCAAGACCTTTTGAGCCTTAAGTGTTATGCTATTTTATTTAAAAATTGTTTAATTTATGAACTGCCAATGTAGGCTCTATAAACATTGAATCGCCATATCTGTCCTTTAGTGAACAGAAGTGATGTCAAGGTTTTAGGTCTCCCTCACTTGGGAAGAAGGAAGCACTCAGGCTTTGTAGCACCATCTCCTATAAACATGTAGAGAAAGAACTAGAAGCATGGCTCTTTACATTTTAATGTAGGAGTGTAATACATACATATATATGTGTGTGTATATAATATATATATATTATATATATATATATTCCAGCCATTATGCAGGGAAAGCCTCTTTTTCATTTTCTTGAAACATTTTATTCCGGGGCTGGGAAGGTGGCTCAGTGGTAGAATGCTTGCCTCACATGCATGAGGCCCTGGGTTTGATTCCTCAGCACCACATAAGCAGAAAAAGCCAGAATTGGTGCTGTGGCTCAAGTGGTAGAGTGCTAGCCTTGACCTGAAGACCTGAGGGACAGTGCCCAGGCTCAGAGTTCAGGTCCCACAACTGACAAAAAAAAAAAAAAAAAAAGAAAGAAAGAAAGAAAGAAAAAAAACACATTTCACCCAAATTCCAATTTGGCAACTTCTAATTCCTACCTACCCTGCATACAGCATTATCAAACAAACTGTTATTAACCGGGAAGAAAAAAAATGGAATCAGTGAGTGGGACACAAAAGGGAGAATGTACCATTCTAGTTGGGAGCACAGTCAACAAAATTGGAAACCCGAATGAACACTGGAGTTAATCAGGTGAAAAGGCATATGCATTTTCAGACAATAGCATTGAGTAAAGTTATTGTTCACCTCTGTGGATGAGGCTTAGGAGACTCCTCAAAAGAAATCTGAGCCCACCTGCTTCTTGGCTCTGCCCTTCTATTTCTTCCGCACTTTGCTTTTCCTCTGGACCATTCTCATCTTTCAAGAAAACCAGAGGGGGAAAATACATCAAGTCAATTTATGAAATATCTCTTTATGGTTAATATGCAGCACTGAAATTAATTGCAACCAATGTAGCATGACTCCCCATAAAGGAAGGCAGAGAGATGAATCAGAGGCATGAAACAGAAAAATTACCTACATAAATAGGTGCATTTATAATCATCCCTTCGCACATGATTTGCTAGAGGAAATGGTTGAACTGCAGTAAACAAAATTCACTCAGCAGTCCTGCTAACATGCCCTCTCCCCCTCTCTCCATTTCTCTTTCTTTCTCTGTGCTCAGCATTTCCCAACATGTAATACAGATTTAATTTCCAATCTGCTATTTTCCTTTGACTTGAGTCAAAGAAAGCTTGGTTGACAGAGTTTCTATGCTCTTTATTTTCCTGTCTGATATATATTGCAAAAAAGCTATTTTCACTTAACTTGTACAAGACAGTCTAACCTAACTATACTATAAAATATTTTGTCTTGAACCTGTTAGGTTGCTCTACTAGACAAGTCTATGAAAAAATAGATGGGTGGTTATAGTAGAGTTTGCATACTAGCACTATCTATACTTTTTCTTAAGATATATAATATGTCAGTGGATTTATGTGCAGAAAAAAACCCATCAAACTTTTTAAAGGTAAGTAAAAGCCTGGTTGTGTAACTCAATACTGGCAATAAAGGAAATAAAAATCATAAAAAATTTGTATAAGAACATGGGAAAAGTGTAAAACAAGCAGTTAAAGATAGAAAATAGTATACAACAATGTTTAAATATAGAAAACTTATTCTCAGGAAGCTGAGATCAGAGGATTGGCATTCAAAACCATCCCAATCATTTCCTCATCTTTAAGTAGTTGTGCAAAGGAGTTTCTCTTTAACAAATCAGTTTGTGAATACAATATATCTTGACCAGTGTCACCCCTTTCAACATCTTTTCCCAGCCCTCCTGTACCGAGCCCTTCTCCCACTCATGAGACACATATCCAGTTAACCAGCAACAAGCAGAAGTAGAGCTATGACTCAAGTGGTAGAGCACTAGTCTTGAGCAAAAAAAGCTCAGGGACAGGACCTAGGCCCCAAGTTCCAGCCTCAGGACTGCCATACATATATATGTTGTATTAAAAGCAGAAATGATCAGTCTATGGGATAACAAAGTAGAATTGAGCTCCCTTCTGCTTGAAGTTACAATTGCTGTAACTTGTTTAAACCAGTGGAATGTGGTAAAGATGCTGCTATAGAATTTCCCAGGGGTCCCTGGAGGAATGAGCAACAGCTCCTCCTTCCTCTTTTAGGAGAGCCAACCATAGCTATAAAGAAGTCACAGCTAGCTTCCTCTGGGCATGGGACTAAGTCCTGATATGCCAGACATATAATGGAAGCATCTTCTAAGCCAGCTGCCAGTAGAATGTTGCTGAGGGACAACCTCACCCAACGCCACAGGAACAGAAGAACAATCTTTTTAATTCCTTATCCACAAGCAGGTCCAGATGGGAGACCCTCATCTTGTTTTGACTTGCCACCTACTGAATCTGAAGGCAGAAGGTAAGAGAATGGAGAATCCTCCCTAGTCAGAGCTTCTAGTAACAGAACCAAAACCAAAACCTCAGAAACAATGGAGAAGCATTATACAAAGAAGACCTGAGAAACAATCCATCGAAGACCTGAATAATATATTGAATATAGGAATACAGTCAAAGAATTCATAAAATTGTGCCCTGTCCCCGATGGAACAATCTGACATGAGAGATGTGGTATAATTTTCATATGAGAACCTGGGGCAAGGCTGTATGCTATTAAATTCTGTATTGTAACTAGAATATGTGTAAGTAGCACATAGTTATCTGATATTTTCTCTGTTGATGTTTTCCATGTTGGTGACAACATTGGCTTTTGCTCTAGGCAGGAGATAATCATCATGGCTGTTCTTGATCCTTTATCAAGGCCAAACTGCTATGGGATCACAGGCCAAAAACAGCCAACATAACCTTCTTTCCTCCCACCAAATGGGCTAAATCAAGCAGGGAAAATCTGCCAGTTCGTCCTGACAGATTTCATAACACAGATTTCACAGCAGTCTACAGGTGACCAGCCACCTTTAAAATTAGTCTGGTTACTCACAGAGTGGGGACAGAGAACTTACTTGTGAGCAAAGGAAAATAAGCAGGAGAAGAGAAAATTAAATCGCAAGAATGCCATGAATTGGTTCCAACAGTTTTAAATGCGTACAAAGTTAAATTCACAAGCAGACCCTGAAATCTCATGTTCTAATAATAAAATTGAATTTGATGGCTCATCTAACCTACAGTCCTAAGTTTTCCCCTTTGCCCACATGCATGCTTATCCCATTCACTAGCACAAACATCCAGGGAGCAAGCTCTTGTTCTCTGCTTTGGGTCTCAATTGGACAGTTTTCTGCTTTCAGTATTTCTGTCCTTAGAAAGCAAACTCAAGAAACACTTGGCATGTTTGTCATGGAGTAAATGCATTCTTGAAGCAGGCTGGATTTGCCATTTGAACAACAAGCCTTCAAATGAAAAGGTTTGGTATATTGGTTTCATCATTTTCCAAGACAGCATATTTTTAACCCAGCAGGGGGAGCCAGCGTAGAAGTCTTGCTTTCAAAGCACATAGGTATGGGTGGGCAATTAGATTAGCACGCATTTCACTCTCAGAAGGACAGCTTGGCTGGCTTAAAACTTTCCATTCACTTTAAATGCTTGCAGTTCTTAGCGAAACAGTGGACTTCCACTAGTAGAAAAAGAAAATCACATTACTCAGTTACCCTTAAGTGTTTGATAAGGACAGGCTTTCTTCTTTTTAATCAACCTTGTCTGTCTAGCTGTTTGCAAAGGAAGCATATAAACAATAAAAGCTAAGTAGAGTAGGGCATATAAATGTGATGTTTTTAGAAGGTATTTTAACAGGCTTACAATAAATGTAAAACAATACATACAGGGAAGTGCCGGGCTAATATTGTTAGCTTAAAAATGTCACACACAGGCTAGATTGTAAACAGCTATACTCTTAGTTAATATATCTTTGGAATCATGTATTTATTTCAGAGAGTAAATTTCCACAGTATTTTTATTGAGGGTGATAGAACACTTTATGTTCTCATGCCATAAGCAGCACAATAACTTGCAAGAATTCTACTATTTCCTTCTCATTCTCCAGTATTGATTCTGACTCCCTAATCTTTCAATCTATATTTATCGAGCCTGTGTAATTTGCAAGAATATTTCAATTTTTTTATAGAAATAAGAGACTCTTGCTGCAAGGCAAATTCATATAAGTGGAAGGAATATACTAGTGGTTGGACTGCGATAAGAATTCAGCCCTTGTTTAATTCCATATGGGAGAGGTTTGCAAGGGCAAAATCCCAAAATTATGGACATGAATTTCTATCACTGTATTTGTCGTTTCTTTTGTGAACTGCCTATGGATATGGGAAGAGAAAAGAGAAGTAAATCAGATTAAGTACCTAGCTGCTACTGGGAAAGTGATTTGGTGTGCACTTCCTGCTGGTATACTGTGGCTTTTCTTACAAGGAACTCAAGATTTCTAGACACAGACAGAGCACAGACAATTCAAACATAGTTGTTTGCAAATAGGATTTTGGTCCCAAATCTTTATTTCCTTATAACCGGATTATTAATTTCAGTGCTCTGCTGTGGTCAGAAAACATACCTCAGTGATGTTGGTCTTGATCATGTGACCTGAATAGGACAAGGAAATGCTAATGGATGCAGTTCAAGCAAAAGTCATACATGTGCTGCATAAAAGGATTTATTTCTTGTGATTCTGGCATTTGCCACAAGAAGATGCTCCTGTAGCTGCTAGCTAAAGAAGGATGAGAGATACATAGGACAGATTGGAACTCAAACCAGAGTCAGGTAATATACAGCTCTGAAACAGAATCACTTCATTTAGCTTACATCAGGTGAGTCACTGATGACTTGTGGACACCCGAGAATGAAAATAAATAAATAATATGAAACTGAAATTGGGGATGATTTGTTACACAGTATTATTGTTGCATGGAAGTAGTAATAGCTAACCAATACAGATGACACATCTATTTTTCTCAGGTTAAAATAGCTCTAAGTTAACTTTCAATGTTCCACTCTTGTATGTAAGGCGTTTTGATTTTGATTTTGTATTCCTTCATCTATATTTTTATTTCACACATTTTAAAATCCTCCAGGAACACACATTTGAAAAACAAATTAGTTTACATAAGAGAGAAATGCTCCTAAAGAGTATGCCCTGCCATAGATATAATAATTATGTTTTATTTAATTATATAGTTATTGATTCTTATTCCCTAATCCTTTTATCTATATTTATTGAGCATGTGTAGTTTGCAAGAATATTTCAAATTTTTTATAGAAATAAGAGACTCTTGCTGCAAGGAAAATTCATATAAGTGGAAGGAATATACTAGTGGAAGGAATATACAGCTGGCCTTTATTGAATACTGAATTTAGTCTGCTCAGTTCCTAAATGCTTTGAGTATAATATTGAATTTAATTTACATAACAGCTTATGAGATAGATATTATTATCCACATTCATGAGTTAGAAAACTGAAATCCTGAGATATTATGTAATTTGTCTCAGATTCCACAGGTAACCAGAGCAGAGAGCTCTGGTACCATACCAGAGAGCTCTGGTACCATACCATGCCTTCTTGGAAATATATTTGTTGTCTGAGGTTGATGGTTAGATTCTGGAATGGAAAAAATGTGGAAAATGATACTTAATAAGAGCTGAAGAACTAAGCTGTAATCTGCAACTTTATTAAATTAACATATAAAACAAAGAAGACAGAATCAAGCTCTTTTGCCAGGTAGTTGTGAGTATTAAATCTTAATTTTTGCTTTTAACACTGAAGATATTTCCATGTGTATGATACATTATGCAATTAATATTTACATATTACTATTTAACTAAATCAATGTTTATATTATAATATATCCTTACATA